AAATGATACTGACTGGTGAGCAAGGACCAGACATGATAGGTCTGAAAAGCTGTGACAGAGAGACATCATGGCAATAGGACCAATTGAAGATTTTTACAGAGGATTTACATAATTGGATGTGCTTTTAAAATGGATAATTTTAATGGAAATACGGAGGATAGATTGGAGGGAGCTAGGAAGACCAGGGTAGTTTTTATTTCCTATCTCAGGAACACAGTTTTAAAATGACTAATACTAACTGAGGTAAAACAAACACACAGGAAAGTGCATACATCTTAAATGTTCAGCTTGATAAATATTTTCATATGTATACACTTTTATAACTACAAATCAGACTATGAATTTTCCAGCATCTCAGATGATTCCCTCATGTTCTTCCCAGGCAATACTCATTTCACCCTCCACTTCCTACCCTCGGGATAGCTACTGTTCTGATTTCTTTACCATAGATTAGGTTTTTGTTTGGTTTGTTTTGTATAGAGACGGGGTCTCACTGTGTTGCTCAGGCTGGTCAGGAACCCCTGGGCACAAGTGATCTGCCTGCCTTAGCCTCCCAAAGTACAGGGATAGCAAGTGTGAAGCAACACACCCAGCCCATCATAGATTAATTTTAAGTTTTTGAATTTCATGTAAGTGGAATAATAGAATATGTTCTCTTATGTCTGGCTTCTTTTGTTCAAAATTCTAAGATTCATCCTTGATGCATATAACATCATTAACTGTTGAATAAAATTCCATTGTATGATTTTTTTTTTTTTTTTTTGAGACAGAGTCTCACTCTGTTGCCTAGGCTGGAGTGCAATGGCGAGATCTGCGCTCACTGCAACCTCCGCCTCCTGGGTTCAAGCAATTCTCCTGCCTCATCCTCCCAAGTAGCTGGGAATACCGGTGCATGCCACTATGCCCCACTATTTTTTTTTTTTTTTGTATTTTTAGTAGAGATGGAGTTTCACTATGCTGGCCAAGCTGGTCTTGAATTCCTGACCTTGTGATCCATCTGCCTTGGGCTCCCAAAGTCATGGGGTTACAGGTGTGAGCCATCATGCCCAGGCATTGTATGATTTTATACCACATTTAAGTTACACATTTTACCACTGATAAACATTTAGGTTGTGTCAAATATTTGGACATTATGACTAATGGTGCTATGAACTTTCTCATGCATATGTTTTGATTTTTATTGATTTGTTTATTTTGAGTCAGGGTCTCACTCAGTCACTCAGACTGGAGTGCAGTGGTTCAATCTCGGGTCACCACAACTGGCCTCCCAGGCTCAAGCGAATCTTCTGCCTCAGCCTCTTGAGTAGCTGGGATTACAGGTGCGCGTCACTGCTGCCCGGCTAATTTTTGTATTTTTAGTTGAGATGGGATTTCACCATGTTGGCCAGGCTGGTCTCAAACTCCTGACCTCAAATTATCCGCCCACCTAGGCCTCCCAAAGTGCTGGAATTACAAGTGTGAACCACCACGCCCAGGCAATGTCTTTTTAAACGGATATACTCAGTCACTTTTCTTGACTACAGATCCAGAGAGAAAACTGCTAATATTATTAGTGTTTTTACCATTAGTCATTCTGCTACCACAGTCTGTTAGGTGGACGTTTGGGGGCCATTATGAATACACCCACTATAAATCAATATTCACATATAGGTCTTTACAGGGACCTTTTTTTTTTTTTTTGAGACGGAGTTTCGCTCTTGTTACCCAGGCTGGAGTGCAATGGCACGATCTCGGCTCACCGCAACCTCCGCCTCCTGGGTTCAGGCAATTCTCCTGCCTCAGCCTCCTGAGTAGCTGGGATTACAGGCACGCGCCACCATGCCCAGCTAATTTTTTGTATTTTTAGTAGAGACGGGGTTTCACCATGTTGACCAGGATGGTCTCGATCTCTCGACCTCATGATCCACCCGCCTCGGCCTCCCAAAGTGCTGGGATTACAGGCTTGAGCCACCGCGCCCGGCCAGGGACATATGTTTTTACTTCTCCTGGGAAAAGGTTGGCAGTTTCTTATCCAGTTAAATACACCATATATCAAGGAAAATCGTCTGGTAATAAGGAAAAATGAGATTGCTGGGATATATGATGTATTCAACTTTATAAGAAACTACCAAACTTTCCTAAAGTGGCTGTATCATTTTGAATTTCTACTGGCAATCAACACCGGGTATTTTAAGTTTAAAAAATTTTAGCCACTGTTGTAGCTGTAAGATGGCATCTCATTGTAGCTTTTTAAAAATTGAGATAAAATTAATATAATATATTACAAGAAAAAAACAAACCCATTCAAAAGTGGGTGAAGGATATGAACAGACACTTTACAAAAGAAGACATACATGAGGCCAACAAACATATGAAAAAATGCTCATCATCACTGGTCATCAGAGAAATACAAATCAAAAGCACATCGAGATACCATCTCATGCCAGTTAGAATGGCGATCATTAAAAAATCTGGAGACAACAGATGCTGGAGAGGATGTGGAGAAATAGGAACACTTTTACACTGTTGGTGGGAGCGTAAATTAGTTCAACCATTGTGAAAGACAGTGTAGCGATTCCTCAAGGACCTAGAAATAGAAATACCATTTGACCCAGCAATTCTATTACTGGGTATATACCCAAAGAATTATAAATTGTCCTATTATAAAGATACATGCATACATATGTTCATTGCAGCACTGTTTACAATAGCAAAGATCTGGAACCAACCCAAATTTCCATCATTGATAGACTGGATAAAGAAAATGTGGCACATATACACCATGGAATACTATGCAGCCATAAAAAACGATGAGTTTGTGTCCTTCATAGGAACATGGATGAATCTGGAAACCATCATTCCCAGCAAACTGACACATGAACAGAAAACCAAACACCACGTTATCACTCATAGGTGGGTGTTGAACAATTAGAACACGTGGACACAGGGAGGGGAGCATCACATACTGCGGTCAGTTGGGGGGACCTAGGGGAAGAACAGCTGGGTGGGGAGGGATAATGAGGGGAGAAATACCAGATATAGGTGATGGGGGGATGAAGGCAGCAAACCACCTTGCCACGTATGTACCTATGCAACAATCCTGTATGATCTGCACGTGTACAGGTGAAGGCAAGCTTTTTGAGTTGGTCTTCTGGGAGCCGTCAGACAAATACGACCAAATATTTCTTTCTTTATAGTAATAATTACTATTCTATAAAAATGAGGTCTCTTCTACTGGTTCTAAGAATGTTGGCTGTTATTTCCAAGGATATCCCTGAGCTGAGGAGCAGGGGATGGGCCTAGGGTAAGTTAAAATGCCAGAATGTTTGCTGTTCTTAGAGATTCAGCCTATTTTTCTTAAGTGTTACCAGGTTGCTCTAAACTTTTGGTTAGTTTCCAGAGTTCTGAAAGAGCTAATACTGAGAGTTTTTGTTAGTTTTTTCATAGTCAATATGGAGTAGTGAACTTTTGGAGTTTCTTACTCCACTATTTTCCTGTGTGGTTTTAGTAGATTATTTTTATTTTTTGGGCAGTGGTGTTTCTCAGCAATCTTCGCCTCTGGGGTTCAAGTGATTCTACTGCCTCAGCCTCCTGAGTGTCTGGGATTACCGGTGCCTGCCACCAGACCCTGCTAATTTTTGTATTTTTGGTATAGACGGGGTTTCACCAAGTTGGCCAGGCTGGTCTTGAACTTTTGACCTCAGTTGATCTGCTCACCTTTGCCTCCCAAAGTGCTGGGATGACAGGCATGAGCCATGGCGCCTGACCTTAGTAGTTATATTCTTAAAGACAAATATATAATATCTGTGTGCTTATTTACCTTCTGCATTTCGTTGTTAGTGAAATGAACATTAGTTCTTTTTCATTTTCCAAAAAATTGGGTTTGTGATACTTTTCTGAACAATTGAATTGTAGACTATCTTTGTAACTGCAATGCCAAATCAGCATCATGTCTGACACATAGTAGGTGATGAATTCAGTTTAATGAATGACAGATAGACAGACTGAGGTATATGTAGGTTGAAAAGAATGGGCCAGTGGTGAGAAAGAGATTAAACATACAGAAAGGAGATTTGGAATGTCATTGAAACAGTGTCTTAAGGTCTGCCAAAGAGGATGGGATTCAGCTCACGTGAGGAGTCAGTTGTAAAAATGAGGAAGTGATATGTGTACATTTCAGGTTGGCATGGAAATGTGAGAAGATGAAGGAATCGGTACTAAGGGCCATAGCTGCTTCTTCCTCTTCTTTCTTCCCTGCAAAGAAGGGTGCTGTTGCAGAATGTAGGGAGGCAAAAAGAAAAGGAACAGAGTCTTTAGGATAATGGCAAAGACTTGTAATGATTATTTTGGGGAATGAGAAAGAACCCTGATCACAACAAGATAAAGGAATTCCCAAGCGTGGCTAACGACTGGTTGAAATTGAAAACTGTAGTGAGTGGCCTGGAGCGATCGAGTGAGTTTTTTTTCTTCTTTCTTCCAGCCAGAGGCGGACTCCAGATTTTCGAATCTGAGGGGATTTAAAAAAGGTTGATATTGGCTTGGGAGCTTTTTGAGTTGGGGGCTTGCTGTACAGATGTGTTACAGAAAGGCGCACAATGAAAGGAAATTCATCTTAGAAAGAAGGGATCTGTCCCAGAGAGGGCGATGTTGCTGCGGGTATTTAAAACGATAGCCCGTGAATAGGTAAGCAAAGAAGGTGCTAAGCTAGGGTATCTCTCCATCCCTTTACCACTCCACGGAAGTTTGTACGACTGCGAGGCGGAGGCAGGGAGGACCAAGCTCTCACCGGCGTGGCGTGGCTATACCAGCTCTTACAAAATCTAGAAGGTGACGGAGCTAGCCTACAACGAGTCGTCTCTAGTGGAGAGGCCTGAGGTCTCCGCAGTGACGGGGGTGGCAGTGCGACCCCTTAATTTTCAACTACAGGCCAGTCTCAGGTGGCCCAAAGGCGCTGAATCTACGGTGAAGTCTGCCCCTCCGCTGGAAGCAGGAGACGGCCTGACCCGGAAGTTTCTTTGCCAACCCGGAAGCAGAGCTGAGCAGCGGAGGCGCCGCCGTGGAGCCGCCTTAGAGCCACCGCCCCCTCGCCGCTTTGCCGCTGCGTTGGGAAACCTGGACCGCGGCGGCGCCCGGTTGCCCTCATGATCCCGGGCGGGCGGCGGCGGCGGCGGCGGCAGAGGCGGCGGGAGGATGACCTCGTACAGGGAGCGGAGTGGCGACCTGGCTCGTTTCTACACTGTCACTGAGCCCCAGCGACACCCGAGGGGCTACACAGTATATAAGGTCACCGCCCGGGTGAGTGCCGGTGTCGGGCTGGGATAGGAGCTTGGATTGGGACCTGAGGGTTTGGGGTGGGGACCCTGGTGTGAGGGTACCTGACTGGCCCAGAGCCGAGGGTGGGACTGGGTGCTGCGCCTAGTGGCGGGACTTGCGTGTCGGAGGTAGGGATTTCTAGGTTAGTGGTTGAGTGTGGTATGCCCGGGCTTCACTGTAGCAGGTCGAGGTAGAGTCCTCTTTCTGGGGGTGGGGCAGTCAGTGGTCGATGGTTTTAAATTGATGACTCAGTTCCCATCCCGTTTGGACTTTACTGAGTTGGCAGTTTGCAGAAGTGGTTTCGCTTGCTCCAGGAGGATAATGCACATTTAGAAAATGTTAATTTATGTATTGTTTGGCTTATGTAATAGAAGTTATTTTTTCTCTTGACCTTTATTTAGTGTCAGATTTGCTTTGAGGAAGGCAGACTCTTGGGAAAGTGTTAGGCCATCAACCTAGGAGCTGTGGATCTGGGCTTTGTCAAACCCTTGAGTTTTTCGTGGTTTTCAGTAGGAGACGTGAGAAAAATCTGTGGGTGGCTTGTGGGAGCTACCGTGAGGGCATATTTTAAAGTTGAGAGGCTCCTTTGCATCAACTAACTGGTCCAACTTTTGGTACCACTTTATGTTTCATTGCTTTTGTCTTGAGTTTTAGAGAGTCTGCATCTTCAATTACATAAGTATGTATGTATGTGATGTATGTGTGCATGAATATGTGTGTAAAGTAGGCATTTCGCACATATCACCGGATTTAATTCTCATTTTAATGATGAGGAAACAGATTAAAGGAAGTTTAGTAACTTGCCCAACTTTACGTTGCAAGGCAGTATTAGATCTGCCTGGGATCTGAAACCAGTTTTGCCTAACTCCAGGTTATATTAAATCTGAAGAATTAACTTTATCATTATTAATTTTTAAAGAAGATAGGTACAGATTAAGTAAGAGTAGTTCAGTATACATTTGGAGAATGTAGTAGTCGTGTCAAGTAGGCCTTGAGAAGAATCTTAAAGGTTAAGTAGATTTAGATCAGGTTGGGGCATGGGAGTGGCACGTGGTGTATGGAAATGGTGCACAATTCAGATAAATGTGAGGAGGGATGGATGAACATGTCTGCTTAAAGATAATGAGAAGACCCAGCCTGCTATTGGCGAATGCTGTACTGAGAATAGAGGAAAGTTTGTTGCTCGCTGTTTGCACGTAAGGTTGTTATATGAGTGGAGTGTTCATTTCAGGTTGTGTAAGAAATTTTGTGAGATTAAGGGGCCCTTATTATACCACTCTTGAAACTTTTCTAGTCACTGGGCCCTTCAAAAATCTAGACTTAGTTTCCTAACATGTAGGGTATGGAATCAGAACGGTTTTCAGCATACATAATATTTCATTCACAGCATCCTACTTATCCCTTAATTTAACAAGATAACTGTCTTGAATTAATCTAGTTGCATGTCTATGCCCCTTAGTGGATTCAGAGCAGTTCTCTATCATGGGCATTTGTTTCTGCTTATGTTAACTAATAGATATAAGAACAGGCACACAGTGCCTGCAAACCATTGTTGAATGTTTTCCTCTTCATTGTACTCAGCACACCCAATAAATGTTTAGATCCAGATACTAAATAATCTGAGGGACATAAGCCTGAATAAAGCATGGATCTTCTTTTCAAGGATACTCATAGTAGAAGAGAGTTTACCATACTTAAACAAGTGTAATATAACACAAGAAGTTCCTCCAAATATTACAGAAAAGAGCTGTGGGAAGACAGATTGCTTCTGGACCAAGAAATCAGGGAATATGTTCCAATCAAGATAGGTGAAAGAGGAAGAATCCAGAAAAGGAGAGGGTATAAAAGGGTAGACAGTTGAAGGAGTAGAGTCCATAAAGACCTGGAGGTATGAATGTGTGTGGAACTTGAATAGGAAGCACTGAGTATAATTATTTGTACTGTTACTTTACAAAAGGAAAGGTTAACCAAATTCAGGTCTTTTTTTTTTTTTTTTTTTTTTGAGACAGTCTTGCTGTGTCGCTAGGCTGGAGTGCAGTGGTATGATCTCAGCTCACTGCAACCTCTGCCTCCCAAGTTCAAGTGGTTCTCCTGCCTCAGCCTCCTGAGTAGCTGGGACTATGAGCGTGTACCACCATGCCCAGCTAATTTTTGTGTTTTTGATACAGACAGGGTTGGCCAGGATGGTCTCAATCTGTTGACTTTGTGATCTGCCCGCCTCAGCCTCCTGAAGTGCTGGGATTACAGGCATGAGCCACTGCGCCCGGCCAGATCTCCCACCTTCCCCAAGATGTAGTCTCGCTCTGTGGCCCAGGCTGGAGTGCAGTGGTGTGATATTGGCTCACTGCAACCTTGCCTCCCAGGTTCAAGCAATTCTCATGTCTCACCCTCTCAAATAGCTGGGATTACAGGTGCCTGCCACTACGCCTGGATAATTTATCTATTTTTAGTAGAGAGGAGGTTTTGCCATGTTGGCTAGTCTGATCTCAAGCTCCTGACCTCAGGAGATCCACCTGCCTTCACCTCCCAAAGTGCTGGGATTACAGGTGTGAGCCATCGCTCCTGGCCAAATTCAGATCTTAAATATCTGAAGCTGTGACTTATTTACTGAACTAAGTTTTGACAATATAAACTAGATGATAAAGTCACACATTGCCTAGAACTAACCAAATTTACATATATGCATGTTACATAGTGCTGTGGTTATTTGAACTTGAAAATTGCATACACTGCCTTTTTTCTCCCTGTAAATGTTTGTCTTCATTTATTGCTTATGTTACAGATGTTGTTTTTAAAATATAAGGTCTGAGTCAACATGGAGATGTACTTTTAAAATAACAGTGTTTAGTGTTATAAAATATTTTTTGGAAGTTAAGGAGAAAAACACCTTTTCTCAGGATAATTAACCAGGTAAATAGTGTTCTCCTGAGAGAACTTTAGGAGATAAAAATTAGGAATGTCTTCTGTGTGTTTTCTGCTACTGACTTACTTCTAGCTTCAAGGAACAATTTTCTATATTTTTGATCCTTGCAGGGTTATTACTGTAGCAGTAGAGTTTTAATCATTGGAAGTACCAGTGTTAACTTTTGGATAGCAAAAGGGCTTTTTCATCTTCTGAAATCTCCTTTGTGTTTTTTTGCATTTCTCTGAAACCTGGTAAGCTTAGATGATTTTGAGGTCAGTTACAAGCATGTTAACAGATTCCATAGTTAAACTCTGTGTTGTTTCTTAATTTCTATCTAGAATAAGTACCTGTATTCAGACTTGGAAAATTCTTTCATACATTCTCTGTGATTCTTTAGTCGAAGGAGACACAAGTATAAAAGAACTGTCAGCGTGTTTTCAGTTGTGTCATCATGCTAAGTTTACAAAATTCTCATACTGTAATACAGATTTCTCAGCAACAGTAGGTGAATGGCAGTTCTTGCCCATATTCTTTCCATCAGTATATAAAGTATGTTTTTATTTTCAAAAGACAGTGCTGCCTTATAACTTATTTTGTTTATATTTAGTCATAATTTACATACAGTAAGATTCACCCATTTTAAGTGTCTAATTTGATGAGTTTTGACAAATGTATACGGTTGTGTAACTACACCATGTTCATCCCTGCACAAGTTCCCACATGCTCCTTTATAGTCAGTCACTCCTCCTCACCCCCTATCCCTGGGCAACCACTGCTTTGCTTTGTGTCATTATGCATTGGGTTGCATTTTGTAGAATTTTGTATACAAAGAATCATATAGTATGCACTTTTTTTTTGGTCTGGCTTCTTCCATTACGTATGATTATGTGAGATTTATCCATGTTTTCATGTGTTTCATTCCCTTTTATTGCTAACTCATATTCCATCGTATGATTATACTACATTTTATCTCTTTACCTGTTGATGGACATTTGGGTTGTTTCCAGTTTTTGGGTATTATGAATATAGCTATTATGAACACTCACATACAAATCTTTGTATGGACATATGGTTTTATTTCTTTTGATACCACACTGCTTTGTTTACTGTAGCTTTAATGTTCTTTCTCAAAATTATTTTAGCTATTCTAGATTGTTTGCATTTGCATATAAAATTTAGAATCAGCTTGTCTGGTTTCTACAAAAATGCCTGCCCAGATTTAGATTGGGATTATATTGAGAATGTAGATTAATTTCAGAAGAATTGATGTCTTAAAAATATTGTCTTCTGATCCATGAACATACATATCTCCCCATTTATTTAGCTCTTCAGTTTGAGCAGTGCTTTGTAATTCTCAGAGTATAGTCTTGCACGTATTTATTTTTATTTATTGATCTTTTTTAGAGATGAGGGTTTCACTGTATCATCCAGGCTTGAGTGCAGTGGCACAATCATAGCTTACTGCAGGTTGAACTCTTGGGCTCAAGTGTTACTTCCTCCTCAGCCTTTTGCCTAGCTGGGATTATAAGCACAAGCTACCCTATTGACTCTGCACATATTTAAAGTTGTTTGGGTTTATTTTCAAACTATGACAATGTATAAATCCTCATTTTTATACGTAGCTAATGTTTGTTGAGTAATAACAGCAAACACTTACATGGTGCTTACATATGAGTCAAGAACTTTATATTAAATTAACACATTTAGGCCGGGCACAGTGGTTTATGCCTGTGATCCCAGCAGTTTGGGAGGCCGAGGCAGGGGATTACAAGGTCAAGAGTTCGAGACCAACCTGGCCAATGTGGTGAAACCCCATCTCTACTAAAAATACCAAAATTATCCGGGTATGGTGGCAGGTGCCTGTAGTCCCAGCTACTCAGGATGCTGAGGCAGGAGAATTGCTTGAACCTGAGAGGTGGAGGTTGCAGTGAGCCGAGATCATGCCACTGTACTCTAGCCTGGGCGACAGAGCTAGACTCTGTCTCAAAAAAAAAAAAAAAAAAAAAGAAAACCAAAAACACATTTGTCACAGCAGCTCAGTGAGTAGGTACCATTATTATTTTCACATTTTCCATGA